CTCCCTAATCTCAGATTCTTCTAATGGGGAAAACTCTCTGAAATTATAGATTGCTTTCGATTTCTTAGCCATGTCGGAAACAACGCTTCGATTTTCCCACTATTATCGAAGCGACTTGCGGTCATTTCTTTTCCGTCATCTCCGGCTGACTCCGCGGTTGTTTCGCCGGAAACCTCCGTCTCCGTCGCTCCAAACGACAAAACATTGGTCCTGTTACGGTCAAAGCTTTACCATTATAGTCCTTTCAATTCAAGGGTTTGATTTTTGATTTTTCTTATTCAATTACGTTATAAATCTCCTATGCTCTTCTTTTCACCATCGTTTCTCTCTCTCTCTTACTCAGTCCTCGATTCTCTACGCGTTTCAGCGTTAAGTCTTCTAGATCTCTTAGCTTCGTTCACGTCGATATAAATCTCTGATCCACCGGTAAATCCACCGGGCCTGCGTCGTTTTTAACCGGAAAAATAATGGCGCAACAATCGTTGATCTACAGCTTCGTCGCTCGCGGAACCGTAATCCTCGTCGAATTCACTGATTTTAAAGGCAATTTCACATCCATCGCTGCACAGTGCCTACAAAAGCTTCCTTCGTCGCATAACAAGTTTACTTACAACTGCGATGGTCATACCTTCAATTACCTCGTCGAAAATGGATTCAGTAAGTCAAATTTTTCTTCGATCTATACTTGTTTTGGTTACGATTTCGTCGTATGATTTGCATAAAATCAAGCGTGATTTATACTTTGTTTGGATTAGATTTTTTTTTTTGTGCCTATTTGAGAATTTTGGGTATCTCTACAAAAGATCAAGCGCGATTTATTTGAATCAGGTTCTTATGTTTGGTATGATATCTATCATTTTCAGGAGTAATTATGTTTTTGGTGTTTATCTTTGATTGATGTTAGATCTAATCCGTGATATGTTTGGTGAATCTATTACCGATTTAGCAATAGTTCTTGTTCTGGATATATGATGCTACGTTCTTTACTGGTTTGTCTGATTTGCTTGTAGTTTCCAGTTTCATAGTTTTTGGCATCAGATTTTGGCTCTAATCACTTTGAGACTTTTTTTGGTAAAGTTTTGAGTGTTCCTTACCTGATTGGGTTTAGGGTGGTGTTGATGGTTGATATCTATTCTATTATAGTGTCAACTTTCTTACAAGCTATATAATTGGTGAATTTATGCATACCGATTACATTGGAAAAGGATCATATTCTGCTTCACCTCTCAATATGGTCTTTAAATTTACCATTTTGTTTTCGTTGTGCAGCGTATTGTGTTGTTGCGGTTGATTCTGCTGGGAGGCAGATTCCTATGGCCTTCTTGGAACGAGTTAAGGAGGATTTCAACAAGAGATACGGCGGTGGAAAGGTTGCAACTGCTCAAGCAAACAGCTTGAATAAAGAATTTGGGTACTTATTTGATCTCTCTGTGGGTTGCTATTGAAATAAGTTTATTTTATCGATGGGCTTAGTCATTGACTCCTTTTTGGTTTGCTCTTAAAGGTCAAAACTGAAAGAGCATATGCAGTATTGCATAGATCATCCTGATGAGATTAGCAAGCTTGCTAAAGTGAAAGCTGAAGTGTCTGAAGTTAAAGGTGTAATGATCGCAAACATTGACAAGGTTACACTCCAACCCTTTTTATTTGTCGATATATAGATATATGTTTATGCTCTACACGTTCTGTTTAACATAGTTCAGCTAGTATGACTCAATTACCACCACCTCTTGATGACATACCTATTCCTTGCTTTAACTGTAGAAGAGAATGTCCAATTTTATTGATGTAAAGACATTTTCTTCTTCTTAAACTGTGTTTCCGTTGCTGAACTCATCCAGTATCCGTTGTTGAACTCGTTCATTTTGTAGGTTCTTGAACGTAGCGTGGTACTTGAGCTCTTGGTGGACAAAACCGAAAACCTTCGCTCACAGGTTAGTTCTCTTACGCAAATGGTTCCGAGTACACTCTTGAGTTTGCATCACTGTGATTATCTTGGTTTTTGAACTTTGAAACTCAAAACTGTGACAGGCGCAAGATTTCAGAACACAGGGAACTCAAATGAGGAGAAAGATGTGGTTTAAGAACATGAAGATAAAACTCATTGTTCTTGCAATCATCATCGCCTTGATCCTCATCATCGTCCTCTCGGTTTGCGGTGGCTTCAACTGTTCTAAATAAAGTCTGGAACATGTCTTCCCGGGGGTTATCTAACCGCCCTTTTTGTGTTTCCAAGATCTCCGAGAACATTCTCATTCAGCATTTCGTCGTGCCGTTTTCTTTTGTGGTTTTTAAGTTTCTCATGCTATGTTTTTTTTTTGCTTAGATCGTACTTCTTGAAATTGGTTTTGTATAGGCCACATTAATACATATTATGTATGAATTGTTATTGCTGGTACTGATACTACTGATTCTTGCGAACCAATATTTGGATTTTGGACCAGATTTTAAACACTTGTAAACTAATTGGCAAATGAACATCACTACCCGGTTCAGAGTAATTGGGGATGCGCCTTTTAAACCCGGTTTCGTCTGACCGGTTAATTCCGTCGAAATCGCTCTTTCCATTTCTGCAACTTCAAAATGCTCAAACCTTCTTTTCTCTTCTTCTTCCCTAATTTCGGATTCTCTAATGGGAAACTCTCTGAAATTTTTCGATTTCTTAGCTATGTCGAAGACGATGCCCTCACTTTTCCGACTACAATTATCGGAAATGATTTGCGGTCTTTTCTTTGCCGTCATCTCCGGCTGACTTCGTGGTTTTTTCGTCGGAAACCTCCGTCTCCGGCTAATTCGATGGTTGTTCTTCGAGGGTTTTTGAATCCTGCTATCGTGCGCCGGGTTGAACTCGACTCGCATTGCTGCGATGGATATGGGAATTTTAATCTGCTTCGGTATTTATTCTGTACTCTCCAATTTTGAAATTCAATTTTTGTTTGTTTAGTTTAAATTAGGAAAATTTTGAACTTTAGAGTTTATCTTCTTCATTAGCATTTTTGCTCATTTGATCTATAGTTTTGTCAAAGCTGTGATATCTATCTTTATATACTATATAAAACCCTTTTAACCATTGATAAGCATTCTTCATTCAATTAGCTTTGCACGTAG